ACCATCGCTTATAAATCACCCGGAAAATTCAGAACAGGAAGTAAGGTTCAATAATTAATTAGAGGCCGTTTTATACATTATAATATTAAATCCGTGGATGTTCTTTGTAAAAGCTGGTTCTTCTTTCTGAAGTACCTGTTTTCACAAAGAAATTTTAAATGGTGCAAAATAAATTCACCCGAATTATAAATGGTGTAAGGTGTTATTTTGATAAAGTGCTAAGTTTAAAGATCTAAGCACACTGTTCTTCAGAGAAAATTTCACTGTATACCATAAGGACAATATTGCTACTCCAATATTTCAATAATAAGTTCACGCGGCCCCATAAGCATGCCTCTGAAAACTGAAAGGGCCGGTTCAGCGGTGCGGGCCAATTATGAAAATAGCACACCTGCGCTTGTCAAACACGGCCGCGCTTGTCTGCCGGCCTGCACTCGCCATTAATCTTCTTCGCTCCCTGTTCATACGTACGCTCCAGGTACGTTCGCCGGATTCGCAATACGAAATTGCGGACCTTCCAACGGCTATCCCTTCTGAAGTATTACACTAAGTTTAACACTGGATAGCGGTGTCATTTGTTTTGTTAATCATTGATTTGTTAATCTATTTGTTAAATAACTAAATAACCTAGATAAAGAAGAAGATGTGCAATATGCAGTAATCTTATAACGCTTCTAACAATTAGAAAAAGATATATCTTGTTTTCTCTTCTATTGAAATACATTATATCAATTTTTACTCTATTATCAATCTACTTTGAGACTGACAAATGGTTTAAACATATTGTATTAGTATTATAATATAATAATAATGTACTGAACGTAGACCCACAGACAGCCACGAAGCACGTTTCTGACCCATCACCACCTGCATCCATCGATTTTCCGCATCACTTGCTCTACTCTAACAAACTGAAGTGATGATGATAATGATGCATAATAATAATTTGTTATTATTGATTATGTTAATAATTTGTTATATTGATTATGTACCATGTTTAAATGTCATATTTTTTTTCACAAATTTAATTTTTTTTATGCGAGAAAGTGGACACGAGCTTGCGATTCACCTGATGTTAAGTGATAACCGCCGCCCATGGAGATTTGCAACACTTGTAGGGTTGCAAATGTACATAGAAACATTAGTAATTTTAATAAGAATACTGATGTACATAATGTAAACACTAGGAACAAACACAAGCTTGTAACGCCAGTTACTAGACTCCATAGAGTCAGTAACTCGTTCATGGGACGGTGTATACGCTTCTACAACAAAATCCCAGTTAATGTGCAGAGCCTAACTATTAACAGGTTTAAGAAATTTATTAAAGAAAAACTCTTTAAAAAGGGTTATTATAATATAAATGAATACATTAACGATAATAACCCCTGGGAATGATATGATCGCTCCTAAGCTGTTTCTAAAAAAAAAAAATATGTACTGTATAACTATGTATTTGTTGAGTAAAAAAAATGACAAAAAAGAGGATACCTACGGAGTTTCTTTCGCCTGTTTCTTCTCCGTTAGAGGAACCTCATTACGAAATGGTGGTGGATTTAAAAAATGACTATCGATAAATGTAATATATATTTCTTATTTCGATGAATAAATTATTTGAATTTGAATTTGAATTTGAATGCGTTGCCACCTATAAATAAAGTGGTCCCGGCCACCTCACTCACCAGACGAAACGCAGAAGTGTAACGCTTCTACTTTACGCCGGGCTTCTGTGAGGTCGTGGCACTTACTCGGACGGACCTGCCCATTCGTGCAACAGTGAACACTGTTGCGAGGTCCTACCACACCATAAAATTAGGCCAAGTAAAAATGGCACATTTTCGAATAAATTATATTTGTTTTGATTGTATTTATTTCACATGTTGAGAATTAAATTTTAATAATTAATATTTTTTAATAAATAGTTCTATGATGAAAATCAAAAAAGATATAAATTTTAGTAAAAAAATAGCAAACGTGTTTGCAGTTTAAAATGATATTTTTTACATGTACATTGCCTTGAATTTGCACTTTTGGAACATTCTATATGATAATATTCATTTTAACTATAGAGCTCTTAAAAGTTTTATAAAAGGGCCTAGTTATTTAAACCACGTTGCGTTTTCAAGGCACACTATTAAAAACCTAAGATACGCCAGACAAGAACTACTAGAACTCGTGGAATCAGTGCAATTCGTGAGGAACAGTTTATCCCACCTCTCTTCTACGTAGTAACATATTTCCGTTGCGTTCATAAAATTTGACTGACCATACCTTCCTAAAGCTGCTGTTATATATTAAATATTTGTCTAATATTTCAGATTTTTTTGACTTTCATTCTTCCTAAAGATTTTCTTTATTTTTTCTTTATTTAACTTAATTTTAGCAGTTTTGTTAAATGTGGCTAGTATATTTATAAGCACGTATGATTAATACAATGGTGTCACAATAAATAGTAACTTTTTCAAGAACAAATGAATGTATTTACCGCCATCTCTTGGTGAGTAGCTATAATTTCAAAATTGTTATACATACGTTGTGCCCAGCCCGGCGTACTGCCATCTCTTGCTAAGAAGCTTTTTGGAGTTTCACACATGAAAAGGAATAGTATTGATCTTTTATGTAATTAATTCAAGCAATTTTTATTTACATATACCTAACTTCTACTATTACTAAGTAACTAATGGTACATAAATTTTTTTTTGGGTGTTATGAATTGTATACCGTAAAAATATACAATAAGCACTTTCTATATTTAAAAATTTATATATTTTTTACTTTCTCAATAGATAGAAAAGTATGTAACATATAATATATGTAGAAGTATTTTGTAGTGGCTTCTTTTTGCAAACACTAACCGAACCTAAATTTTGTAGGTATTTTATCCTCCAAGTAAAATGGTGATCCACTTTACTTGAGTTCCCTACGTTATAAATCATAGAAAGAATTAAAAAGGTGCATATTATGTACAGTATTATTTATTAGTTACACAGTACACGGTATTTGTATATTCATTACTAATCGTTTCAATATTTCTTAATCAACTTATGTTCAATACAGTCGGGAAAAAGTTTTTGATGAAGATCTTAAAAGTATACAACAGAAATTGTAAATGCTTTTAAGCATTGAATTAACATAATGGGTTGTAATAAATAGACAAAAATATTTCTTTCCATTTGAAAAAGATTGAGAAAATAATTCATTTTTTTTTCATGATGTTTCTATGCATATTTTTGTAAAATATTTAAGTACATAAATGGTTAAATAAAACAAATGAGTATGTGTCAAAAAATGTTTATTTAGGTGCACAGAATGAAACAAATCTTTCGCACAGTGGTGCTTTTTTATTGAATTGACGAATTAAAGAAATAGTTATTTAAGATTTATTTGCTCTTGGACTCCCAGAAAGGGTAAAGTTATTTATAACCAAAGGACACAAGTAAAATAGTAAAGTAACTGCTATCTCCATACATAACTAAAGATCTCTAATTTTCAGTATAAAATTAACAATGTCTCCTCTCAAGCAGATGTCAAGCGTAAGATTTCATATACATATTATTTATTCATCGACCCACTCTGGCTTTACACGAGTAACAGTAAATGTTATAAAAAAATATGTTCATCCGATGGCTCAACCTCGCCAAACCTCTCAGATTTGTCACTTGAAGATTGCTTTTAAATTTCATCAAATCGATCCAGCCGTTTATGAGTCCTAGGGGAATATAATTATGTACAAACTGTACGAGAATAATGATTATTCATCATTATTACCATACAGTTTATTTGTATTCACTTATTATTTTAAAGTTATCCACAAAAATATATTTGATCAAGAACATAACGTAACGTGATTGTTCTCATTCGATGAGATATTATGTTCAAATATTTTGTCTTTCAATAATTAACAAAGTTCAAATTAAAAATTCTCCTCTAATACAATTATCATTCATCAAATGTAAGACTTTTTACTATCAAAAATATAAATAAAACACAATATAATACAGGCACTTACAATGGTAAGTCTAGTTAATGAACAAGACTATTATAATTACACTACAAATTTTAATGTACTTGAATAATTTTTTACGCATTGTAAAAAGGTAGTTTCATTTTTCTATACATAAGCTACTCCAGTGCATTTTTACTTATAATTGGATTTAAAGTAGCCTGAAGACACATCATTATTTAAGGATAGTTCATAGGATTGAAAGCAAATAAATCCTCCGATAGTGAAATGAATAAAATATTGTCATTAAAAGGCTTTAAGTGCTTTGTGTATGAATATTTCATTGCCATATATAACCGATGGGTATGAAAGGTTCTCAAGTGGCAGTCTCGTATTGGTGCAGTGCAGGCCCCACTAGAGGTCGTCACCTGTGCAAATGTGCGTGAATTCAATGGACGAAGGTGACAAAAAATCGAATTTCATGGCAGTTTGTGAGGGAGGTCTATGTCCAGTAGTGGACTACAATAAGCTGAAATGATGATGATGATATTTAATAAAAAAAAATCTTCGGTTTAATTAATTATAAATATTCCAGATTTCTTTACATATTATATTTTATATGTTAAGCAAATACTATAATTAAAAATTTAAAAATGAGTGGCAAAGTTCAGTTTACTAATTCTTACATTGATGTTAATTGAGTCATAGTTGAGAAAGATATTCTATACTATCTATGAGTTTTTAACTATAATCAAACGCATAAAACTTAAGTATCAAATATCACAACTTAGTTTGTGCATAATGCATATGGTTTAAGATATTAATTTTATCCAGGAGACACGGCTTTGAGAGCGGGCATGCGCATTTCAGTTTCTCTATTATTGATTTTATGTTGTCTGTAGTACCTATCTTATAATCACGTCATACAAAGATGCGATGCAATATTTACCAAAGCATTAGTTCAGCGCGAAAGAACAAAAGCATGTTGAGATTCAAAAAAAATTTAATAAAGTGGTACATCTTGGATCTATGACATCAAAGTATGAACATTCGATTAAAATCTTGAATAGAAGATATTGCGACGCATCCAGAAATCATTAATGAGTGTTGGAGGCGACGCGATGTCGTCACGAGTCTGGGGATTCTTGTGTCTTCTCTTCATGGGATCGTAGCAGTGCATGCACCACACAAACCTCTCTAGAACCGAATTTGTCGCCTCACTTCAAACAAATTCGGATCTACAGGGTAGATGTAGGGCACTAATATTGATGCCGTCGGCACCAACATGTCTTCAATAGCTTTCTTGCGGCGGCTGAAAATCGGGAGAAGCGAAAATTTTGAGACGGAAGCATGTATATCATAATATCTTTGAATTTATTAGTCTTCCGTCTCAAATCACAAGTCTCTTAATACAGGTTAAAAAAATAATATACTGTTTACTTAACGATTAGTTACATGTTGACAGTCTGATTAAGTATAAAAAAATAATTGAAATTTTTAAACAGTAAACATATTACATAATGTACTCATAACGCGGGTACATTTTCAGTAAAAACTAAATAAAAAGAAAACTTCTCTGATGCGGTGGCGCGCGGTGGAAGGCGAAGTTGCGCAGCGTCTGAAATAAAAAAAAAAGCGCTCGTAAAAATCTGCACGTGGAAAGACCGTGAATCACTCGTAATTCTATTTTCGTAACGAGTTGTCAAAACACTTATCCATCACGGTTTGGAATAGTGATGTCAGCGCGCGGCGGAAATTTTATCGATCGCAGCGGGGCGTTGCGCGCTCAGCGCGTTCTCGCGCGTTAAACGCGGGTCCCTGCCGATTGGCGATTGGCTAACGCGATGGTGACAAGTGAGGACCGTCGTGAGGAGTTGACGCGAGTATAAAGCGACAGGTCCAAAGGCGTCCGTCTTTCCGTCCGATTGCAACGTAGGCGTCTTCAAGGCAAGAGTGAATTGGGTTTTACTGAGCGAGTGCGCTTACCATCAAAGGCTGCATTGCCACTTACCAACAGGTGGGATGGCAGTCAAGTGCTGGCCACTTCTAAATTAAAAAAAAAATGTCGAGCGGGCGTTGTGAAATTCCGATACAACCGACAACGGAAGGAGACCGCGCGCGTTTGCCGGCTGCCGGTCGGACGGCGCCCGCTAATCAAAATTCACGGAGTCACCCGGGTGCGTAATGGGTGTTGCGTCAGGCGTGTACTGCGCCATTGCGACGCTGCTCCCGACGTCGGCTCAGTAAGGTGTCCACGGGTCCGTTTGGCTTGTCGATGTTTAGTGGCGGGCAAATCTCCTCGGGGGCGACTTGCTGCAGACGAGCGCCGCTAAGTCTGGCCGGATAATTCCGTCAACCGACCTCGTAGTATCGGGGGCGCCGTCTGGTAGCTTCGGTCGCCTGCAACTGGGTCATAGGACGCGCATGCGCTCTCCGGACGCGAGCAATGAGCTCCCGCCCCCGGGCAGGATCGAATAAAGTGGACCTCCCCCCACACCGTCGCTATCGACCGGCCTAAGCTGGCCTCCCCTTTTCGCCCGTTCCCCGCGAAGTGACGGAGGCCCGGAGCTCTCCCCGCTTGGGCGTTGCTCGCGGCGCTTGGATAAATCTGTTGAGCGCTCGGCTCACTAGTTGCTAAACGGGATCTAGGATGCGCGATTAGGTCCATTGTCGGCGGCGCGGACACATTTCATTACTCTCGGCGACAGCGGAGACAACCTAATAACGCCTAGTCGAGGACTTATTGATCTAGGGAACATTCTATTTATTTCTTTTCATGAACAGTTTCGCTTACGTCATCCGTCATACGATAGGAAGTGTTTCAACAATGTTAATTGAAATGACAGAAAGAGCTGATCATAAACGTCATTTTAAAGTAAAATGTAGATGATCCTTTGCTACTGTGAGTCCGTAAAAATAACATTATGATATATTTCAAAAACACAGAGAAGAAATATTGACTTTCAATAGCCTGTTATTGCAAGGAATTAGTATCGGCAAATTATTTCAAATTTATGTGCACAATATCGGTTCACAGACAAACTCGGTTATACGAAACAATAAATCTGTTTTGCTTAGAATGCATTAACATGAATTTAGGCATTCATACCGTATATGTGCACGACAACACTATCAGTGGGTACAAAAAGATTGACAGTTTTGGGTCAATGATCACTTGCAAGGAGTTGCCAAGAAAAATTGTGTCAATAATATTGTTTGGTCCTTAACGCTAAACAGCATTGCATAAATATTTAGTATTCGAATAGCATGTTGATTTAACAGTGGGGTATGGAATAATGATACAAACATAATGATATGGATATTGCAGCCGAGCAAAAAGTAATCATTGAAATTGAGGACTTATGAACGAGGTATTTATGTCCATTATAATCATTGGCTTGTATATATATATTGCAGTACTCACCGGAAAAATTCATCAGCTCGGGAATTTCGAATGGCCCAATGTAGTTCGAAAAAGGACTATTCATTGTTCCTCTTGCGCAATTCGTAAATGCCAGTGTCATTCAAAAAAGGAATCCCATTCATTGCTTCTCTTGCGCAATTCGAAAATAGACTAATCGTTTATTTTTTAATTTTTTTTTAGCCACGACTAAATTCGTACCGTACGAGTCGAGGATCGTTTCGAAAATGGAAGGTGGTGCGTTCGCGACGAGGGACGATCCCACTATGATGCGTCCCGCGCGACGCGTCGCCGGTAAGTATCGGTGATGAAAACAGTTAGCGGCCAACTAATTGTACGGCAGCCTACATAGACGGACGGTAATTGGCCCATTTACACGTTTCGTTAGTCCGCTTCGCATAATTGCCTTATGTTTGCTGGAGCTATGAATGCGCGAAGCACGCGTGGAATACAGCAGGGAATAATTCGGGCAGCGTATGCCGCTTGAGAATCAAATTAATGATGGTGGGGGCTAAATAATTTCGGGAATGTTAACGAGTTTTAGTTAGCTCTACGGTTGTTTCATTGAGTGGAAACTTTGTCAAATATGGTATTGAAAGAAACCATAACATAAAATTACGTATCGCATACATAATTAACTTTGTTTTTAAAGATAAATGAGTAATGTGTTCATAGTGAGGTAGAATGTTTGTCTTCCTTTATAATAGAAGATTTTAAAACGTAGTCCAGACGAACTGTACACGTAATAATTGAAATACTGTTTTAAATATTTCGCTAATGGAGCAAGCAAATATTTTAAATTTTAAGCCAACTAAAAAGATCGGTGATTCTGGATTTCTGGAGCGTAATCCAGAATCACCGAACATTATATGTATTTGAAATAATCTTTTACCATTCGGTAGATTATTATTCCAAATGGACATGGGTTATATATTACGAATATGTCTGTCTTTCATATTATGTAGATAGGTGTAATACACGGTATTTTGGGATTATCGTCGTCTATGCCAAACACGAAATTATCGCCAAAAGTTAGAAAAATTAAGATTAATAAGTTATAAATTAAGATTTATTTAGCTTAGGTTCGTTAGATGTACATTTTCTTATGTTAAGCAGCGGGGCGCAGCGACGTGACTGATTGAGAGCGGTCGACGAGATAATCTCAAAGTATCAAAAAATATATGTTTCTATCACTACCCGTATTAAACGTGGTAGGGCCATGCAACAGTTTTCGCTGTGGCATGAATGGGCAGGTTCGTTCGGGGAATTACCACGAAGCAGTACCTCGCAGAAGACTGGCGTAGAGTGGAAGAGTAGTTACATATCTACGTTTGAGCCACTCTTGATGAGCCACGTAACCGGGATCTATTTTACTAAAAGGTGGCAACGCATCTGCAACCCTACGGGTGTTGCAAATGTCCATGGGCGGCGGTTATCACTTAACATCAGGTTTACCGCCAGTTCGCTTGCCATTTTCTTCTAGGAGTTAACAGTATTTTTTTAACTATGCGAAGGCAGATCATTAGTATTATATACCAAAGAAAGAGCTCCTTACCGCTGATACCAAAGGTGCAAGGAAGCAATAAAAGATATGCTAATTGTTTGAATGATGAAAGCGCCTCAAATTTTTGAAGCTTTTCAAATCGTAACGCTAATAAATCTGACCCAGAAAACAGTTGTTACGAACAATTATCAGAACTGCTTTGTTAAATAGACTAATTCAGAAAACATAGAATCTATTGTGCATACTTTTATGATGTTGCTGTTTACACTGTTTGGGGCATATACTTAGAACACAAAAATACTAAACCATTTTCAACAGACTCCACAAAAATGAGATGGTTCTTAACTTGTTTATATTACGTTCTATGTTTTTTGCCACAGAAGCTTATCGATTTAAAAAAAATCTTTTTACACTGGGTATAGCTTAGCTCCCGTGTTATTCTGTATTATTTTCAATGGATTCGATCTTGGATCTATAGATTCACCAAGAAACTCCTTGAAATCGAAGTAAAAATTTAGTGAGAGCGAGATATTCGAAGTCAGTTTTGTTTTTTTGTTAATAAAATTGTTGTATTATGATTTAAAGTTACATTAATGTCAAGATTTTAACATTATTGTGTAATCACACTGCTTATAATTTCTCATCTAATGATGGATATTAATAAAATAATACATACTTACAATTTCAAATGTTTGAGACAAGTTTTTGACCAGTCGAGGGGGATATACGTGCGGCGTCTGAAATGAAATTAACAGATTACTTAAATCCTGTACTTTTTTATAGAATATTCCGCGAATTTTTAGGCTTCCTAGGGATTTACCAATCTTTGCGTCTCGCCTGATACGCGCCAAACTGGCGTTGACTCGACTTGACAGTCCCGCCAAACATGGCGTCCGCTCGAGTGGGAAGCGGAAATACACGAATTACTACGAGTCAAAAAAGGATGGAGCCAATCTGAGCGCGTGTGCTGAAACGAGACAGGAGGCAGGTCCTGGCTGTAGCGTGGCGCAGACAGGGACGGCGATATGGATCCGGCGGGCGTGCGAAAGAATAGGAATCCGCCTAAGCCGTTTTTAGGGTGGAGTTGTCTGGACTTTGGGAACGGCGCGGCGCGCAGATGCCAGCAAAAAGGGGACCAGACCGGGCTAAAATTCGGGAATAAATTGAACGACATTTTTGCCACATCGCCCCGCTGCCCTCTCTGCTTCGCAAGGACACGCGTTTCGTTCTTTTGCAAAAGCTCGCATTCTTTACATGGATTATTTTTGTTCCAACCCGCGACTCTTCAGATATACGCGACAGATAATGTCATACGCATTCTAGTTGGGCAAAACTTAGTTTACATTGAACGATTAAATGATGGTATGATAAGTTTTTTGTTTTTCGTAACAGAACCCGTTCCGCACTATACGTGGAATTAGTCACATTCGAGTCACGAGGTCACTGACTCGGGATTTATTGTCTGCTTCCTGCGTTTGATTAAAGTTCATATTTTAGGCACACACTAGTTGTTAAATATATTTCAGACATTTCGTTCAACTGCATTTTTCCTCTATTTTTAATTCGATGAATACTAGTAAAATTTAAAGCCGGTTATCCCATTGGAGATTCGCGTACGGACTGCATTCGCTTGGTGTGTACTTTATTTTATGGATTGTCAAGTGACAATCCATAAAACAAAGTATGAGCGACGTGCAAATTACTAAAACATTCCGTTTTTATGTCAACTTTTAACTCGTGTCCAGATATATAACTTAAGGCCGTAGCGGAATCCGTGTTAGCTAGACGGTAAAAGATAACCGATTATACATTTAACCCAATTAACGGTTTAAATTTGCTTTATATTAAGGCTTCTTCTAGATAAGAGATTAAGTCGGCGGAAGCCACGATATCAATTGTTTGCATACACCTCGTATCCTCATATCAATGTAGATTAAAGCTGTATATTGTTTGTCATGCGTTGAACAGGTAGCTACTGATAAAACTTTGTTTAGGCAAGATATCCGAGATAATCGCTTGAAGGAATTACGATCCAGCCAAAATAGCCGAGGTCGGGGGAAATTTGTGAGAAATTGTATGACATTGTCATGTTCTACAATATGACATAAAACGATATGACGTATACAGGTTACCTGCATTTAATAAATGCTCAGATTACCGAAAATCGATCTGTTATTATAAAAATAAAAAATCGATAACTCCTTTTCATTTTATTGGCAAACTAGCTGATTCACCTGATCTTAAATGATAATCGCCGTCGATGGACATTTGCAAAGGGTTGTCGATGCGTTACCGAGGGAGACAGCTCGATGACCAATTAAATAAGAGTTCTTCTCTCTGTCACGATCCTCGGCAGTGAGGGAACGACTAAGAAGAGAATAAGAGATTCGATGCGTTGCGAATATCGTTTAATAAATTGGGCCTCGACTACGTCACTCACCAGACGAAATGCAGAAGTGTTTCAATTCTACTTCACGCCGATCTTCTATGAGGTCGTGGTACATACCCGGACGGACCTGCCCATTCATGCCGCAGCGAAGACTTTTTTGTTTTGTATAACTGACATTACGCTTTCAGTCCTTACGACTATTAAAGCTTCATCGAACGCAGAACCGGTGGGCTAGCCAGAACCCACGGGTTTGAGGTCCTCCTCTGTGGGTAAGGCCGCGCATGTACTCATGCCAGCGAAGACTGTTGCGTGAACCTACGCGCGCGCTGGCGTAACCCGCTTTCAACAAAACTGTCATTATATTCACACAGTATTGCCGTTATGAATTATCCCCTTTTACAAAAAATCCCCTAAAAGAAAAGCTCTCATTCGACGAATAATGTATACGTCGTATCGTTGTCGTGAAACTGTTAAGAACCTTCGAAGTTTGCATAATAACGAATGAAAACGGCCGCGTACATTAAAAACTAACACAGCTTTGTCACGCTACTTCAACTGCTCGAAGTTTCAAAGGGAAATTTTATGCTTCCAATAAAGCAGAGCATTCGCGTTTGATGACTATCTTGTCACGAGTAATACCCTCGAAGTTATAGTAAAATATTGTTGTCAGTAAGGCATGATTTGAGAATCTGTTTTGATTGTACTTGCTGTCCTCTTTTTTTTATTGATTTAATAACCTTATCCTTTTTATATCATTCGAACGAAAGGAGTGAATGTGTGGTGTCACTGTTTGGAAATACAATCACTTTCGAACGGTGATTTTGTATGCGTATAACATATCTATAGTGCAAATTATTATTGGATTTTAATTATTCATTTATTATTTGTTTTAAAACTTTTTGCTCAATAGCGGACTTAACACCATTAGGTGTTCTTTACCAGTCAACCATCAAATAAATAAAGAAAATATGGAATTTAATTAAAAAAATTGAATCCAAATTCACTTTTTCCCGAGGAAACGAGGTTTATAGGTTATAGACATCTCTATCTCATCTAGACGGTGTCGGTACAATATATATGTAAATCATGACGTCATCGGCTGACGTCGACCCTGCTTAGGAATTAATACCCAACAATATTCCCCAACAATTTTCAGAGGGTCACACAAAAATAACTGTCCCGTGTGGGAATGGAACCCATGACACCCTACACCGAAGCCAATAGGGTTATGGATAACGCAAGTCCGAATGAAAAGATTTGGTCTAACTTAAAGAACTTCAAAATAGTATTTAAAGCATATAGCATTATATTCGCACAAGACAGGAATAACGTGACAAGTGTTTGGGTGAAATATTGGTCATATCATTTATTTTAAGTTTTTTTTTAATATCTACTCTATTTTTTTTCGTTTTTTTTTGTGGTTTTCGGTTAAAAACAAAAATCAATAATCTTAAAATAGAATATACGAATAACAAGCGTTATTATATTGACAGCCGCCTTTTACGGGTGTATTATTTCTTTCTTATTAATAATTGATGCGATATATTCGCAAAATCTTTGGTGTTTATTAATTGTTGCAGTCATTGAAAATAATAATATATGAACATCTCAATAGAGGAATATAGTCGTTTTAAGAGTACATCTTAATTGATAATGATAAAAAATTTATTTCTTAAAAACTATGATTCAGTAAAGACTTATAAAATGCGCGCGCGAACTATAATAGCCCGAACGAAGTATACATGAGAATGAGAACATATAGTACGTCTCAAATACGGTCTTTGTTTATTCAAGGGGTGCGAGTGAATATTATACAGGACTATGAAGTGGGGGGTCGGGAATAATAAACACAGATAAAATTTAATGGAATATGAAAATGGAATGGAATATGAAATGATATGGGTCTTTGTATATAATCGTATGTTTTAGTTACTCAAGATATCTGCTCCCTGCCGTTCTATATCTACGCACACTACATCTGACGCTACTCTCTTCTTTCTTGTTTAACTTCTCTTTTGTTAAGTCTATATGAATTTCAATTTCAATTTTAAATTGCATTGAATAAAAGGAGTTTCATAAGTTGGCTGGTCTACTTTTTCATTAATTTTAACATCTGTTGACGTGTTGATCTGTTAACGTGCACCAAAAACAAAATGTATGGTACAGGAACAAGTATGGATAACGTGGCTTTAAGTTGGGGTGTTTTTGCGTTATTTTTAATCTGTACTTAATTTGAATCGCTTGAGATATCTGTGTAAAATACCTTATCTGTGTAGAATATCAAAATCGATTATTGTACAATAAAGATCGCGTCGACCGACACTAGAGTTAAACGTAGCTACTTTTTAAAGAGCGATCCCCTTTTTGTGTGCTATTGCCGTTTTAGTTCGTGAGAAGATTTGTTCGACATGGTTATGAATTATAAATAGATTATCGGTTACGATTAAGTTCGTTTTTTGCCGCGTATCGGTACTGACGAGACTGGTTCCACAATGTTACTTCAGCGGTATTAAATGGATCGATATCTTTGCTTCAACGGTACCGGGTGACGATGGATTTTAAATGGCAAAATATAAATAGTCTCAGGATCCTTTTATACATCTGATCGAGTTCAGAATCCTTAATGATCAAAATAGCGTTACACATAATTACGTCAAACTAGAAAGAACCACAAGCTGTCAAAGCAAAGCCGTTGAGAAATTGTAATTGCGTAATATTTTATTCTTTCAAATTTTATTACTTTCCTAAGTTTTGCAAACTATATTGTATTGACTACTACTGGTCGTAACTTACGAACGTATGAATTTTTTGGGAAAATTTTGACATTTCATAAGCGCAAGCGTCTATGTGAATAAATATATTTTTGATTTTGATTTTTACTATACTGATGACTCCGTGGCGTAGTTGCCACGGTATTGCCTTCAGCGCCGGGGGTCGTGGGTTCGATCCCCACGAGACAACTACTTATGTGATCTACAGATAATTGTTCTGGATCTGGGTGTCTGTCCAAGGGAATTTATGTTTGTAACACGTCCTTACAATATATGATAATGTACGACAACATTTACACAACAAGTAAGGGCAATGTAAAAAAAAAATAGATACTATTTTATAAAGTCGTAGAATAACAAATATTTGTCGGGCTCGAAGAAGACTTGAGTTCTATCGGACAGGGCAGATTCAAAGGAAATCTCCGATAGTGAGAAACGTTTTGGCCGCTTCTTGCGCGCATTAGCATGAACAAAGGCTAATGTCAAGTCGGGCGTTCCGCGCATGCGTCGTTGGGGCAAAGATATCGACGGTTCTGTAGGGGCGCGACGCGCAGGTCGCGTCTCACCCCGACGTTAAAGGCGGTAATAAATAACAAGGCTCCGTTCGTTCCGTTACTGGCAATTCGGCTTGATGGTATTGGTATTACTGTTTGTGGCGGATTCCTTATTCCACACAAGCGCAGGTTGTAAGACGATGACACGGTAAACAGTGCTTTCGAATCTATGACACGATCGAAGACACAAAAGTGTAATGAGAAAATTATTAGTAGCGTTTAGCAGTCTGCCACAGCTAAGTTAAAGTTGTACATTCTGTGCCTTTCCTTAGTTACTAATTTCGACTACGCCAAATCTCCGGTTGGTTCGTGAAGATTCACCTCATCTGAATTAAGTCATTTTAAGTATACAGTATATAT